GGTGGGTGGGGTGGATATGGTAGACTCGAATTATATTTTCTCTGGGTATCAGTTTTCCAACTCTAAATTATCCATGAAGCAATTCCTAGTTTTTTTGCCTATAGTATGTAATGATAGAATTTGAGGAAGTGAATATTTACCAATAAAAGCTGAGTTTCACTACATATGGAGGATTGAAAAGTGTCCCCTCTAGTAAGATACTGAAGTTTTTTTTGCAACTTTAAGGCGAGGAAATACCATCGCGATGGCCGGCCCTATGGCAAACGTTGCGAACCCGGCGATGTGATTGGCTGCATGCTGAATCTCAACGAGCGATCAATATGTGAGCGCACCTTGATTGGAATCTACGCATCTCCCATTTCGGATCTTATCAAAAAAAATTGTTCTTTCTTTTTGCCTTTTCAGTGTTTTCTCTTAACGGTGAAGTTATGATGGATCCATTGGGTCAAGAAATCGCTTTCAAGGACATCAAACCCCAAGATGGTAAGGTTGTTTAAAACAAGCCTCGTTCTCTCTTGCCTAAATTTCAGTTATTTTGGGTTGTGGGGAGGGGGCTGAGGGGAAGGTAATTGCCTATTTACCGCATTTAATATTCTCCTATTTCGCTTATATAGTCGCAAAAGGCTTTGTGCCAGCGTTTACTCTTGGCTCTGGTCAACAAGTACGCATAAACTTCGGCAACGCTGTTCAAACCCTCAAATACTTCACAATTTGTGGTCTTCAAGAGGGTTATAGTCCTTTCGCTGTGTACGTCAGCACTTACTGCGCTAACACCATCACTGTTTAAATCAAAAAATATTTAATACATTCCTTCCCCCCCCTCTCCCACTTCTAGTAACATGAGTCATCCAGTTCCAATGTGGTATAGCAAAGTGGATGCCTCCCTCTTCAAAGACTTGAAACCCAACCATAGTCGGCTGGAAACTAAAATTTCTGGGGCATAGTAAGTGGAGTGCAAAGTATTTTGCTATGATTATGCGAAATATATACATAATTCACTCTAATTACCCCCCCCCCCCTCCAGTCCGCCAGTTATAAATATTCTTGCCAAATCTCCAAGTCCAACTGGACTTCATCAAATGGAATACTTGCGATTGAGTTTGGGTATTCAATGCAAATCACAGTTTACCACTCGGTAAGCTAGCATGATCACCTGCATGCTTCCTGCATGGTTACTTGAAAGTAAATCTGCGCATGAATTTCGTTGTTGAGCATACTTTCGAGTAGAATTTATTGTAAAAGTACACATTTCTTCAGACCGCTAATTGATCGAAGAGCACATTTGGATCACCTTCGAAAACAATTCGAACCAGAAGATTACTGTCATCATGGAATGGGCATTGGCGGTGCTAATATTGATCTTATGGCGCAGGTTTGATTTTAAACTGTTTTAAATTTAAATGATTTAACTGGAAGTTGCCTCCTCTGGACACATGGCTAACCTTTTAGGATATAAGTGGCGCAGGATTGGAGGTTCGCGACAGACGTGGTAAAAGAGCTCGTTTGGCGAATGTTTTCAAGAAAACGCGTCCAAGAGAAGTTTCGTCAGCCGAAGTTGCTGGAAGTTTTTCTGGTAAGTCTTGGCTGACTGGCAGCTCTGTTGTTTGGCTTATTGAACAGTTATCGATTGGACGATTGATTAATAGGTGCAGGCGGGGTGAGCTTGGTGAGTGGAACTGGCAGTACTGGACCCGGTGGAAAGAAAGGTGATGCTGCATCTTCCAGTCAGACTTCAGGAGGTGCACATGAAGGCTCCCCTGGTCCTGCGGGTGAAGAATTCGAGCTACTTCTGGTAAGATTTCGCTTATTATTATTGCGTAGGTAAAGGTACTCTTGATAAAGCATTTAAAATTAAGGAACGAAAAATAGGCCAACAGCGTTTAAAATGGGAGAACGACTCGTTGAGCATGTGATGAAGTCAAGAATCAAAGAAGTGCTCTAAAGGACTTCTGTAGATAGTTTTTCACTGTTGAGTGTTGGCTGATTAAACTTGGATGGAATTGAAAATGCCAACGCTTTCAAATCCTTCACCATACTTCTCCTTATTACATTTTTATGTAACATGTTTTAAATGTTGCTTTATCTACTTAGCCTGAGCAATCAGCTATGGACAACGCGATTGCAGAGTTCATGGACGAATTTGCCTACACTGTATTGATTCCTCCGGGTCAAAATCCCTGTCTAGTGAATGTGGGTTGGGTCGGAAGTTGCTTCAAGATCTCCAAACCAGCCTCCATCAGTGGAGGAAATCCTTTTCCTGTGGATCCGGATTTTAACGTCACTCAGCTAGCCACCATTGGAACCACACCGAATACCCCTACAAACAAGCTTCCCGGGGGTGAAACCGCAAGTCTAAACAGTGAAATTAGCGAGTCAGAGAAAACTTCCAATGATGAATCACCTGCAGTTGCTATGGAAAAGCTTCTAAACTTTGCAGAGGTCCGACAAGTGGCTGTATGCCTTCTTCATGATGATCTCACCCTGAAAGTAGGATTTGCCTAATCACCTGCTAATCACAATCGGTTATAACTATTGATTTTTCTTTATAGTCGGCAGTTGCTGAACGATCATCCTTCTTGGTAAATGTCGGTGATCTGATTCAAAAGATTTCGACCCCTGATGATATCGGTAAACGTGTTAGCCAAGGTCTAGCAGTTACATGTTGGGTCGATACCGCATCTGGAACTCTCGGATTCCGCTTGAATGATCGAGATACGCTTATTAGATACCAAGTTGAACCATCAACACATCTCTTCGCCGCTGTGTTTGTTCGTCCAACTGCTCGGGACTGTGTCCAATTCGAGTTGGGCCGGAGATCCCGGTACCACCTTCCTCTAACCGCTGGAATGCTGCGTCCACCTCGACGTGCCAATATGCCTCTCCCCCATCGACTCAATGTCCAAGCTATTGAGGTTGGTTGCCATGGCAGTAATAGGGATATAAATGCATCTACTATTGACATGGCATCAGTAACATTGTATTATTTACGCAGAGGGTTCATTGGGCACCTGTACCGGGTGAACAGTCAAAGATCCAGAGTATGAAGATGAGCGATCAGAGGGGATGGAGCATGCTGTTGGAGAATAGTGCTCCGCGTCTTGTTATTCAATTGCCAGAGGCCAATCGCTGTTTTTCAATTTTAGAACTTGAAGATATGCCCGATTTGCTGAAGTGGGTCCTACATAATTATAACCCCCCCCCTCCTCCCCTCCGCCCATTACATCCTATTGATTCAAATTTCTTTTCTTCCCACTTCTAGATTCCACGCTAAAACCCTGGCTCTATACAAGGCACTCTGCTGCCATGGCAACCACAACGTCGCACAAAAATTGACGAGCCACGTCGATCAGAACCAACTGCTTTTCATAATCCAGTCGAAATGTAAGTGGAAAGGTGCTCGCGGTAATGGTGTTGGTTTAGTTCCCAAACCCACAATGGTTACTACCACAACCAAGTTGGTCAAGGTGCATCAAATGCATAAAGCAAGAAAATTTCCTAAGACGGGTGCAAGATATGTATCAGAACTGACTCAGATAAAAGTACAAGGGTGGGGGGGGGTGGGGGGGGGGGGGNGGGGGGGTGGGGGGAGGGTAGAGTCTCCATCCTGTCTCTATGGCTGCAATCTCTAATTGATAAAGTGGCATGCAACTGACTATTTTTTTTCTGATCCATCGAATCTCCGGACTATTCTCCCACATTTTTGGATTCCACATCAGCCCACTGAGTTTGAAGTTGTGTGCGTGTGTGTTCGTAATGGACATTATGGCTATCAATGTTCATATATATATATATATATATATTAAATTTCGGGATTTATGACACCTATCATTAACCCTTTAGTTGAATTTGGGCTTCACGGAGGGGGAGGGGGAGGGGGGGGAGGGCACAAATGTCGAGAGTGGGGGACAGAAGATGGATTCACAGATGTAAAAGGGGTAGATAGAGAAAATGGTCAGGTGAAAACTGTGGAAGTGGTCGAATATGACATACAGTTGGGTCATGGTAGTTTGAAGTCAATTGCCGTTTTCTGAACTTTTATTGCCGTATGCGTATAGGTGCATAGGGGTTCACCACGTGGAGGTAAGCCTATCGCGCACTTTATGGCCATCAACGTAATTACAGTTGAATCAAACCCGATGACATTTTTTTTTTGAAAGGTGACTTAATCATTCACCTTCAAGTGACTTTATCAAATGCTATTAACTCTTCTATTTGATTGGCTGGATTTATTGTCAAGATACCGTAATTGGATTATGCAAGTGAACTGACAAAAGTGAGTCAAGTTGTTTTAGTTGCTACCATGCCAATATTTATTTCGAATGGCAGGCGTTTTGTTAGTTAACATTAGCCCTTTATCTGACTTCCGGCTTCACAGAGGGAAAGGAATATCAAAATAACAGAAAGCCGAGGGGTGGGGAACAGAAGAGTGATGCCCAGATGTAAAAGTGGCAGATATATGTAAAGGTAGATAAAAGGTAAGCTGAGTACTATGTAAATGGTTGAGTATGACATACAGTTGGGTGATAGTAGTTTGAAGTCAGAAGTCAACTGCCGGCTAATAGACTTTTTGCCGTATGAGAATACATTTTTCAGTGTGCACCACGTTGAGGAGATAAGTCTATCGTACTCCCCATCATGCCAATATAAATTCATTTATTTCACAGATGTAGACGGGTCCCTTCGTTCAGAATTCGTGAATCTTCTTCTTGCAATGCATTTGGAAAGTCATATGAAGTTGAAAGAGGTAACCGGACGGGAGTTCATTGTTCCTCTGGACAAAGACGAGGTTGAATCAATAAAATCTCCAGCCCATATTCTTAAAATTGTCTATGACTGGTATCCAGATCATATTCCTTCGGTGCGAGAACACCGCAGTATTCGTCCACGACTTCTTACTGATCCGCATCTTCTAATGTAAGTTGGTTTACCTCGTACACAATCTCGGTTTCAATGTTCTTTTTTTTATCTAACTAACAAAAAAAATCATCCATAAATGTGTCTGACTTAACACAATACCACTTTGCACCCACCTTTTCATTCCAGGCTAAATCAATCCAGTTCAGAGAGAATAAAGCTCATCTCAGCTTCGTAAGAGCTGCTGATTGGTATCCATTTTATCATGCATGGCTCTCCCCTCCCCCCTCCCCCTTCCCCCNCCCCCCCCCCTCCCCCCCCCCCCCTCTTCTCTCTTTTAGAGCTACCTCCCACCACACTAGCCCGCTCACACACACACCCGCACACATCGCAAACTCAACCACACCCACAATCAAATTCTCCCCGTTATTTTTTGCGCTCAGAAGTAGGCCTAGTTACAGCCCCGCCAACTGTTATCTGCTATATTCACGCTTTATTGTAGATTTCAGTCGTTTAACTCCTTTTTAAGTAGGTGAATAAATTGGTTTATTAAATCGGAATGACTATGCATGCAGGCTATGAAATGTGTAGCCCTCTTACTTAGATCTAATAAGTGGGTGTTTTAATCACAGACCGGGTGCCGATGGAACAGGAGTGGGCAACTTTACGATCCCACCGGGAGGTGCTGATAGCCAACCGGATGCTGCTATGGCTGCAGCTTTGGCCGCGGCGGGGCCAGGAGGGTTACTCAAACTCTCCGATTGTCCTTCATTCCCCCTCGACTTGTTGAAACGTCAGACTCTTGACGCCTTGATAGATACGGCCAATATGGGTGGACATGTGCGTGATCCTTTTGGAGGCAATTTTGAGCATGCCCTACTGTAAGTCTTACTTTTCAACTTTGAAATATTTCCACGGGTCTTTGTCACGAAT